TCGTTCTTTCATTTGGCCGGAATAGCAAGCTGCTTTCGATCTGTACACGTAAGCCATTTAATTTGTATATTACACAAATGTTTCCGCGAACTGACAGTTTTTAGGTTAGAAAGGTGCAAAAGTGCAGAATCACTCCAGCATCCCCTTAAGAAATTGACCAATCACGGTCAAATATGAGTAGAATACGCGACTGTGATCGGTCAGTTTCTTAAGGCTTGGGGTTTAAATCACCACTGTAGATGGGCGCTGAGGGCGTAGCCTCCGCGGTAGCGCGGATTGGCTAAATCTCTATAACGAGACAAAAGAACGGGCGGCGGTAAACGTGCTGCGGTTTGAATGGCGAAAGGCACGCGGTTAAAATGAAGCGGCGGAACTAGAACGTAAATACGACAACTAAAGCCCGAAGTGAAATGCGCGTTCATTGCGTGACGTGAAATTCGAAGAGGGAAGGGAACATATTACCCGCCGCATCGTATTTGTTCTCGGGGCTGGAAAAATTTCTCTTTTAGCCGCGGCAACTAATTTCGAGGATACGGCAGGGCTTTGTATTCCTGCGGGAGACTGTCCCTCCCGGCGAGAAATAATCTCACGTTTGTCAACAGGGCGAGAAGAGCCAATATGCCGAGAGCGGGGTGTTTGAATGCCTGCCGTGCGCCGAGGGGTGCGAGTCCTGCGAGGACGGCTCGCCCTGCGTCGTCTCCCTCAACTGGCTGATGCGAACGGCGATACTTATCCTGGAGTGCTGCATCATCGCTTGCCTGCCAGCCGTCGCTCTTTTCACATGGAAATACGGGCATGTGAAGGTAGGTTAGCCCGTGGCGGCTCTTTACGTTGGACCTTTCCAAACTATCGATGGCGTCGTTTAGCCGGAAAATAGCGGGGACGTGTTCCGCCTCGTTTTCATAAATACAACATGCCGCGTAAGCAGCCGCTCTCTCGCTCCTCTTTAACTACGCCCTACATAGTTCGGTAAATATATCTGATGGAGAAGTCTGCGAATTAATATTAGCGCACTTTTCATCTCTTCCATCCAGAAGCTGGGAGGGGGGAGGTTTTTTTTACAGCAGTTTACAGCAAGTATCCGCTGCCTCTTAATTAAGCGTGCCTTTGAGACGAGGCAATAAAAGATTTCAACTTGTATTTCTTTAAAGTCTTTCAATATTTTGCGATATTACCGATATTTTACGAGAGAGAATATTCCCCGTTCGTTCACAGGGAAGGGATTTTGCGAGCCAATCTTTGTATTTCGCAAACTCAAAGCTTAATTCCCAGAGCTTAAATAAATCCGAACAATAAGTTCGCAAAGAACGGAAACGCGGAGTATATATACATTTTTCTCCCAAGGCGTCTCTCCGCGTAAACGCGAGTCAATAAATTTCTAAAGTCGCGATAGCTAATAGAGAGACCGTGTTCCACAAGCGGTATAAATCTCTAGTATGCAGAGAGACAAAAGCCCAACATGTGCCCAAGTTAATGTCCGTAGCGAGGGTATCTGTGTAGACGACATTCCGTCGAAAATCCATTATTTATGCGGGGGTAACATAAGGCCGCGCAACGTCCGCAGTTGGACGGCCTTTAAAGCGACATTATGATTTATTATACAAAAATGAGTTAAATTCATAATATTTCGCGAGTTACGTTACACGTTAAGTTATTCATTTTAAACTCGATTTGCTCGAGGGTACCCGACCCGCGAGTGGTCTCATTTTCGCGTAACATTGTCTCTTATGCCTGGCGCATTATATACATACATAAATATTTATGCTTCAGAAAGGCAGCGTGATATCCTATCGTTTTCCCCCGCGCGAGTTCTATTCTTAGACTTCCGACACGTTCAATCCGACAGAGAGTCTTTCGAACGGGAGGATATCTGAACGCAGTGACAAAAGCTCGGCGGCAGAAAGAGAGTGCCGTTGTCGCGTTACGGCTTATCGCGACAGCCGATCGGATAAATCGAGGTTAACACGTTAATCCTGTTCAGCTTAGATCGCAGCCTCCGATATCGCGCGCGATTATTCGGAAGGCCCTTATCGCACAGGTGTAAAGCTACCGGAGATTGTGTATAGGGTCTCTTTAAACGATATCTGATGAACGAGTGTATCACGAGCCGATAATTATGTCACGATGCCCCGTACACCTCGCGATTATGCTCGCGCCAGGATTGGGAGGTCATCCCGGTAATCCGGTGTCAACCAATTTATCTGGAACGGTCATTCCAACAACTTTTCTTGTTTCGCTCGTGAAATATCATATCGTACCGATTATAATCGCCGTTTGCGATAAATTTTATCGCGTTATCGCAATTGTATGTTTGTACGAATTTTGATATTTGTCCGAATAATTATCGACGTTCTCTCAAATTATGCAACCGCGACGGATACGGATAAAGTTTCGAGGACGAATAAATCGAACGGGTAAATAAACATGCAGATACGGGGATCCTCGCTCGGCTCTATATTCAGATAAATCCGTTTTTCGATCAAGAGCTTACTCTGAATATCGGCTATCGGGCTTTCTTCTTCGTCGCCGACGCTCTACGAATAAAATTGAAGCCCGTCTTCATATTAAAGGCGCGATTGCGAGGAATCCTTTCAACCGCGAGGTGTTAATTAGTCCTTCTGAGGACTCCCAACACCTCCATTCGCCCGAGCCCTTGGGCTCGTGAAATAGCACCTCAGCCTTTGCCTTTAACGAGGGCGAAGCGCGGCCGCGCTACCGTTCGGCCTGTCTAGATATCAAAGACGTACTCTCGGATCCGACACTAATTAACGCAATAATGGCACGTGGCAAATTTCCTCCGTGTTTTTGCGTTGATAATGATCCGGAAATTTCGTTATTCGAGAAAGGCACGGACTAATGATGCCCACGAAGGAAATATAATCGTCCCGCGAGCGATGCGGTTTTTTGACAGATATTTTTTAAATAAAATTTAAAACATTCGACTTTATTTCAAACGAAAAAAAATATTTTTCCGCTATTATTTACAACCTTTTCCTTCTTCTTAATCCTAAACTTTCAATTCCCTGGCGATAAAAGTCTCTCTCGAGCCGGGGAATAAATCAAGCTCCCTTTTATGTCGCATTATTTATGGGATGACGCACTACGAAATGTTTCGAAAAATATGAAAAAATGGATGAAAAAAACGACTTTTCCACTCTACCTTGGACTAGTTTCCTATTAAGTTGATTACGCAGTCTTGAGTTCCCGCTTTTCGTTTTTTTTTTTAACGAACGCATGTGTGCCGTGCATTTTTAACGTTATTGAATACTCGATGGAGCTTCTCGGTGCTGAGATATTGAGATATTTATAACACGGAGCCTGGCCGCATCTTTTTTAAATCATGCGTACCTTTAAATCATGCTAGTCGATGGGCATAGGCATAAATCGTCCCGCGCGCATGAAACCGCCCACTTTTGCGGGGCACTCGCGACATCGCGAATGCGAAAAAGCAACATGAATAGTTTCCCCGCGCGGATCCGTTTTAATTGAAAGCGGCGGGTAAAAGGAGTTAAGGAAGGAGGAGGAGATGGTCGCGGTGGAGATTCTGCTGCGCGCTTTCGACGATAATTTCGCGGAATTTGCGACGAGTCGCCCCGCTGAATCTCGCGCAGAGAAACGGCCAGATTTTCCGTGGTATACTGTCACCGTAATCCTGAAATTGGTGGCGTCGAGCCATCGTCGCCCGTAGAATGGGGCTCCCTGCCTCTTGATTTTCCTCGGATGGGATCCGAGCCTGAAACATGCGACGTGTCCTCAGAATCCCGTGCATTAAAATTGCGCGTGGCGTCCTGTAAGCTCCGGTAAAAAACGATTCTATGCGGGAGAGAGGAAAAGTATTAGTTGGATCAAAGGACTGCATTACCATATATAATTCTCGTATTAATTAAGTAAGGATTAACGCGAGTCTTTTAATCAGTCCGATGCACGCGATATCGGAAGCGTAAACGCGCCATTAACTTCTCAATTTTTTCAATTATTCCTCTCGATTCAAAAATTTTTTTACATTTTAATAAACACGGTTCTTTTTATTATCCAACACCCCTTTTTTTGCTCGTAATTTGGTTTCAGCTCCTCATATTTAGCTTTGCTTTTAACGAGCGTTTATTATTCAGGCAATTCAAAATTATTCCTCTTTAAATCTTTATACGAGAAAAATTTTACCCCACATTTTCGAGTTACACTTTCGGGCAGTTTGGAGACATCTTGTGTACGAGAAATAGTGAGATAACAATAGAGATGTCTTGGGAGAAATTTTTGAGCGCAGAACGCGATTGATAATCCGAGTCGAAATTTTGGCCCTGTGTTGTATGTAAATTTTGTGTATGTTACAATACACAAAAATTGTCAATAATTGGAACGCTATTGCAACAGCATATTCCTGAGACTAAATCAAGTAAAAAAAGTCCTGTACTACTTTTCCCTGCGAAAAACAGTTGTCGAGATATCATAAGCTAAACGTTGAAAAAGTTGTAAATTTTCTCTTGAATATCTCAAAAGGTATTAGGCAAATCAAAAAATGTTTTGAGACAAAAGTTGTTCATATTAATTAGTAGAAAAGGATAGTATAATAAACAATAGGGGGTTCCATTTAAAAAAACTATTGAAGGTCAAATTAATGACACCATCTTACGTCCCCCTCGAAAGCAAACAACTTTTGTCTGAAACATTTTTGTATGAAACTTATAGATTTTGAGATATTTCAGCGGATACATTAAAATGGCCTACCCTGTACAGTAGGATCTGTGGCAGTAAAAAAGGTCGAACTACAAGTACAAAATTTATTCCTACTTTAAAACTGATAGTGTCGGAAATTTCTACTTTTGCCAATTTAGCATTAAAGTAGGTTCTTTTAAGTGGGAGCTAAAGAAAATTTTGAGAATTAAAGATTCAAGGGAGCAGTAAAAAATATAATGTCATCAAAGTAGGTTATTGCCGGTCCATGTAAGTGTATATAATCAGCTAAGTAGGTGTAAATTATCCTTAAAAGTGTCTTTATAGTACCAAAATTTCGACTCGGGAATCCTATTGAAATATAATTGCAAAGTGCCTCGAATCATCTATATTTTATCATCGCGTGCTAATTAAGGAAAGTGGAATTAATGTCTTCATTACGGTATGGTGTGATTAAAGTCGAGTATGTTTTAATTAGATTTAGATGACGGGACAAAGGCGGGCGGAATAATCGCTTTCTTCTTTCTCTTAATAGCCCCCCCATTAATAAATCTGAGTTGGAAGATAAACGGCGTGGCGCGGCGGTTTAACAAATTCGGAGCGCGAGGAAATTCGGCCGTTCGATGTCCTTCCATATTCGAGTTACGATTTACAAGCGTAATATCGCGGCGTAATCACTCTTATGAAGTGGCACATGATATACATACAATACATATATGTGTGTTCAGATAATGTATCCCGCGGTCGTAATAATCGTCCACGTCTGCGGGCGTAACGTGGATTAAATCGAAATCAGAATAATGGAACTCGGGTGTATAACGGATTCCTAGAATTCGCGCTCTATCCTTTAAGCGAAACAGAAGTATCATTTTCTTCCATTTCGAGATTGCTTTGTTACGAAGGGCCGAGGGCTCGGCGTGCCCCCTAATGATCCGGGGCTCGGCGGGTGCGATAGAGTTGAAACGGCGCCTTTTAATTAATTACTTAATGCATGTGTGTTTCGGTAGTCGCGAATTCGTGAGCACTTAAGGATGTGCTAATTGAAATGCTATTCTCCGAAGATCAATCCCGTGTAAGTCACCCCTTAACGGACGATCCGGAGGGCGTTGTATTAATTCATGTTGCAAGTTGCTGCCGCGATATCCCGCTCAAGTTTACACTCAAGTTCATGCAATAATAATACCCAAGTTTGTACCGTAAATTGTATGAATTTCAATCGCACCATCGTATTCAACATTCGCATTAGCCGATGTCTGGAATTTCACAGCTGGGGCGAGTTTGTTCCTGCTCTTTAGATTTCAATTTGAAATTCTGAATTTGCAATTTCTAATTACAAACTGGGTAACCATTGTCGTCGGGTAAAAGAGAGACAGACAGACAGACAGACAGAGAGAGAGAGAGAGAGAGAGAGGGGGGGGGCAAATTACTTACGATTTGTCGGCCTTTTAACTTATGCAGTCGAAAGAAAGACAAGCTTCAAAGAGTTTTCGGAGGTAACTCCTTAAAGCGGTTGGATCGTTTTTCGTCGGGAAGGTCGTTACAGGGTACGTTCGTCTCCCGAAGAAGTTGGCGAACTGCGGATACATCCTTCCTCAACTTACCGCTTCGCTAATTCGTGCAAATCGCCTTTTGCCAGAAAGGAAACTGCACTTTACCGCTCGTAACACTAATAGCCTATGTAAGTCCCGGGAGGATTAAAAGCGCCCACCCCTTCCTCCGTCCTTACTTTCCCTCTCCCGTCTTTTTATTTGTCATCCACACAAGACGGAGGGCGGTGCAGAACGGGGTGAAACGGAAGCGACAAATAAGTCCGTCCTGGCGCGCGAATGAAACAGTCGGGACACGCGAACGGGAAATTAGCTTTGTTGCGGGGGAGACGAACTTTAACTCACTTTATTCGCTATTATTCTCCCCCCGGTGTTCGCGCTGCGGCGGATTTTGCGGCATTTCCCATCGCGATGCCCGCGACCTTTCCTTCACTTCAGCACGTTCCTTGAATATCGTATGAAAGCGCGAATGGATGAAACTAGGTGCGGCGCATTTACAACCCGTTATCAGCTTTAAGAATTCAGTTGGCGATCGCAATAATGCACCACTGACAATGAGGAGTGTCGCGCTTCCAGTGTCCGCCCGTCTATAACATGCCGCGCGGGCCGCCCATTAAATATTATCGCGTTACGAGTTTTACTGTATTATGCAAAGTATCCCGTCTTCATTAATATCGACCTCTCTTCCTCGGCAGACCGTCGGGGGTTGAATAATTTATGAGTTGTAAAGCAATTGATTTAAATTTACAGATATCGCACAAATATTGCGGTTTCGCGCAACAGGATCGCTTTAATAGAACTGTAATTTGTGAGTTAAGAGAGCGCCGGTTTACACGACGCTTTTCTTTATCGGCCACAGGCATGCCATTCCGCTAATGGCTAGTAAAAAAGCGCCGTGTACATATTTCAAGACGCCGGTAAACTAACTTACTTTTTTCGTCGCCGGCCAGCACGTTAGCAAGTTAAAATATTCCAAGCTGATAACGCCACGCTAGTTTTTCCCCCCCGCAAAAAGTGTCATGTAAGTTGCATGCGGCTGACTTTTTCGCGATTCACGGGCAGATTTTAGGGATAGTCTCAAAGGTCGCGTTTGCGCCGAAACTGTATCGTCGTAATATTCGTTGCTTCCGCGAAGCGCAAGATGTTATCTAAGAAAGTCCGCGAATACAGAAATAAAAAGTGTTTAAATAAAAATTATTTCACTTCCGCGGCCGCCTTTAATCACCTTTTTTTCCCCCGTAGGATTTCTTCGCCCGCAACAACTTGCGAAAATATATTTTTTGCAACTACGTATTTTTTATCTGAAATTTTTTTCGGTATTGACAAAAAAAACGAGTAAAATATAAATATTTTATTTGAAGATCGAATAGAGGATATCTAGTGCGCCTCCAAATATTCAAAAATATTTTTAGCGCGACTGTAAATACCGATTTCACTATACTTTTTTCTAACTTCGAAACAAACACGCCGCAGTGCCTGATAAAACGGATTGTGTAAACTGTGCTCTTTGATCGCAATCCCGGTAAACAAACAGATTTTGTTGAATAGAATAAACTGAAGTGAACAGCGAGACCGCCAAGATACCCGCTCTATTCACCTGTGTATAACAAACATGTATATTTTGAATATAAACTTGGGTAGCACAATGCTGTGGAAACAGCTGGCAACATAAATAAAGCATTTGGAGGGAGATACTCTTAAATAACAGATAACACCGAATACCATTGAGAAATTCTCCGTTTCGTAGTAGCACCTTTGAAAATAAACATGATTAGCTTCGCTCGCAACATATTCCGATTACCGTAAGTAATTGAAAGAGCAAAAACTGTCCGTTCAATTTAAAGACATTACTTTCGCGCAAAATGGAACCAACGATAACTTAAAATAAGTCTCGACGAAGGGAGAGGGAGTTTTTTTTAATTTCTTTAAATTTTCGAAGCTTCCCTCGGAATATAAAAGTATGACGAGGAAAATCTTGGAGGTTTGCGAATTCGAGAAACGAAAACTTGGAAACGTCTCGAAAGGGTCAGGGAAGTTCCGGTCTGTATAAACAATCGCGTGGATCGGGGCCAGGTTTTGACAGACGATTTTGCGATTCCCGCCGGCTCTGCGCGCCGGCGGATGAGACGCGAGGAGAGACGCGATCTTCCGCCCGCTGCTCTCGTCGCGACGCTGATTTTATTTACGCGCGTTCGGTTCCGCCTCGTCGCCGCGCGAGTTCACAGGCCAGCGGCGCGTGAATGAACGAGCAAAATGATTTGTTGCAGGTGGTGCGAGCGGCCAGCCCGGTTTTGTTGCGCGTCATTGTCCTGGGCGCCTTCTTCATATATTGCACGGTAAGTGGGAGCCTTGCGTCGCGTAGCGTCGCGCCGTCTCGCGTCGCGACGCCTCGCCTTAGATTGTCCCAGGGCGTTTCATATTCATGAGGGTCTCGTAGCGCCGGCGTCCGATAACAAAGCCTCCTCACGCGTGCATTCGCTACCGCGCGCGCGGAAGCCCGCTTTGCTCTCTGTGCCGCAGCATCCCCAACGCGCCGGTTGCAACCGCATCTGTCGCGCGGCGACTACGCTCCTAATATATGCACGCGCCCCGTGCGCCAATTATGATAACGCATAATTCGCGGTATCGCCGCACGCATCGGTCGCGAACGCCGTGTATTCACCAGCTATTAATGGCCCTCATGCTCTGCTAATTAAAGCGGACGTGCCGAATGTATCATTGGACGGGACGCATCCCCCTTTCTCCCCCTCCCCTCCCCCCTCTCTCTCCTCCTCCCGGATGCATCCCGTACCCACACGGCCGTGAATTCCCATGAGAAATCTTAATCTATCGGCTTCCCATCTCGGCTGTAATTATGACTTCCCTCGCGATCTGTAAACCCTCAAAATGTCCCGGAATTATGAAGTAGTCGCTTTAAACTGCGTTAAATTCGAGATCTTTGCAGTTAAACCGTTAATCAGATTTCTCTCGTGAGTTCTCACGAAAGAGGGAGAGACGGTGAGAGAGAGAGAGAGAGAGAGAGGGGGGAAGGGAAGGAAGGGGGTGTCCTTAGTGCCAGAAGAGTGAAAGAATAACGCTTCTTGTTATTCATCGTTACGCTTATTACACGCGGATTATTATCAGACGGGGCATGTCCCTGCAACGTGATGGAAGTTGACCCTCCGCCCCCCCCCCTCCCACCCCTCTCGCTGTCAAGCGCGTAGATCACGTAGCAGCATAAAATAATTCCAGACATCGTATTCTGGGTTGTTCTGAGTTTTGACCCGTAGTGACAGCTGCTGTGACACGTATTCCGCGCACGTTCTTACGTGATATATCGGGTTGATAGCGGAATTTCTATCGCATTTCGCAAACCTGCTTTATCGAATCCGGAACGGATCCCGTCGGCGAGAAGTCATTTGTATAAACGTAAACTCCAGGGATCCTCTCACGTATGCGCGATCTACGATCTCCCACGCCCTTCGCCGGCACGACCCTAAGATACCTGCTTCGAGTCGTCGCGGGGCGCGGGCGCTGTGTGAGATGCTTAATTAACGGCTCGCGGGACATTTAATTTAGCTTGATAATTCCCACCGCGCGCCACCTCGCAAGCGGTTACATCATTACTCGGGGTATCTCATGCAAAAAATTACGGCAGTCGCTGCGGCTAGAGAACGCAATCGTATTATTTCAAAAGCGGAAAGATCACGTCTAGGTTCGCTCTTGCGGCGTGCGTTGTAAATGAGACCGTTTTTTTTTCCAACATCCGCCGCTATTCTTGAAATCTCTTTTTCTTGCACGGACATATTTCCTGAAGGGCGGCGCGACTTTTTAATTTAATACCTTTAACAAAGAATTTTGCGGCAGGGAACGCCTCGAGTTTCAATGTATCTCCACATTTCGCGCTATCAATTGTATATGTTTCGATTAATAATTTATCAATTACAATGCAAATCGGCAGGAATAACCGCCCCGTGTATATCGCTCCGCTGCAAAACTGTCAAATGGCGAACTTTCAGCCGTAGTAATTAAACGGAAACTAGCACAGGCATTCAGTGTTTACGCGAGGTGTTTGTGCAGGAAAGTAGTTATGTGACACTCACTTACACCAAAGTTGTATACAGTACGTCTCTCGCGGATTGTACAATTTACTGGGAAAGTTTAGCTAAAGTGACAACAAGTATGTTCCCGGTGAATTCTGTATTCCCGCATTCGCGGCGTTCGGATCAACAAAAATCGACGTCGACGTTTGGCGCGCACGGTCTACCAGGGCAGCGGGACCCACCGGAAAGTAGGTGTAACTAATGCTATTTTCTGGGACGTATGAGATACCGAAACGGGCGCCATCGAGCCGCGAACGCCACGTGTAAGTGGCAACGTGACCCTCTCCGTTAAAATGGCGACGTGATTTTTCTCCCGTTGGAGTAATGGCACGGCCGTGAAGGGGTTGGTGCCGTGCTGGTGCGCCACGGCAGACATTTCGAGCGCTCCGACCCGGGGAAGCTCGTCGCTCGCCGGGATGGAAAGGAGACGTGCCTACGTAATGTTTGCCTCTTACGAGGTACGAACTCCCGGATGGCTTCGCTTAAACTCGAAGTACTATTCTTAATGGGGCGTCATTTGCTCGCTTATGGGGGGGAGGGCACACCGCCTTCCGTTTCTCACTAAACTTCTCGCGTTATATCTCTCCCGCCGAGCGAGAGCCGCCGGTGTAAATCGCGCGATACAGCCCGGGAGAGTCGGCGAGAGGCACCGGGCCGTCGAAATTTTGCGGTGCCCGCGCCAGCAGCCCCGTAATTTCTCCCTGTTCCCCCGTTCGCGCCGGGGCGTCTTATTAAGACGGAACTCCGTTTCGTAATTTTACAATATTTCCGGGTGTTCGAGCTTAATTTGCGCGCGTAAAAGGAAAAATTGCAGCAGTTGCTCCGCGAGAAGGGAATTTATTGCGCTTTTTACTATCGCGCGTATACTTTTCTTCTTCATTTTCATCACGCAGATGTATCTTTAATAGACGCGAATGCGCATTACGGGGACGCGTATATTTATGCAAAATCGCCCGCCACGTTTCGTTATTATTGATAGATGCTTATACATTATATTTCTTACGTTTTAATCATTTCCCTTCGCTATCTTATTTTCTTCTCTGCGAGAATCATCAGTCTCCGGGAATTCTAACATGTCTATGAATCCGTGTTGGCGTCCGGAGTTTATGCGATGTCAGAGCGTCGTGTTGCACAAAAGAAAAATCGCTCCAAAGTGCTCGTTCAGCGAGAATTCTGTTTTCTTTTTTCGCTCTGTATTCTTTCTCCGTGCTTTCCATAGCGGATTTCCCCATATTATTCAGATATTATTTCCACTGTGTGTGTGTGTGTTTTTTTTTTATATTAATAACAACGGATTTAGGAATAATTTCAGTTATATTACACGCAGCGACGAGGTAAAGAAGATTATCTTTCCCGCCTTATTTGCCACCTTCGAGGACGAAAATGGTGAATTAAAATTGAAGCTGCAAAATAGATACTTAGAAACTCATGCATTGAGATACACGTGAAATGTGTGATGGCATATTTTATTAATTATATTCATGTTTTGCCGCAATATCCGACCGGTACATCAATGTATCATTTTCGCATCGCCTATGTTAAACGTGAATTATTTAGATATTAGTTAATGATCAATTTCATCGTTAAATATATCCGTTCTGCATCTCTACCCATACATAAATAACAAGCGTACACAGATGACGATTCAATGAGTGCTCTCGTCAGAATTTCAAAGGCGTCTACCTAAAGTGCTTTAAATATTACATTCTAATTGCGTAATTACATACTCCGGCGGGCGGCGACGCCGTCGCTCTAACGAGGCAATTTATCGAAAGGACATTGTTAAAATTTGCACGATTAATAGAAATGGCCGGATGAATACCCGGGGGCGCGGGCGCGCATAGATGCCGGCGCGACGCACGCATAATCGTCGGAAATTGCTCACGCAGCATCCCTTTGCGGTACGCATGTGTTGCTTGTGTTGCAGACTATAGTCATGTATCCCAGGCCAAACATCATCACGTGCACTGTGCGCGTATGGCTACGAGAAATTGGCTTTTCTCTCACATACGGGGCACTCATGCTCAAAACGTGGCGGTAAGTGTACTTCACTTCTCGATGACATTACATTTCGGTCCATTCGTGACCATTTTCCCTATACGTCCCGTCGAGGTCAGGACCGTTCTCCATTCGTCAAACTTTTATTGCCAGTGACAATTTTATATATATATACATATATATAATAATAGTATAAAACTAATCGAATATATATCTTTCACGTGTATTTGATTAGTTATATTATTTATGTTCTGACGTCATTTCTCTTTCACTCAGCTTGAAAGCCTCCCCTCGCGTTTTATTCTGTAGTCACGACGTCTTATTTGAATTATACTTTGAGATATATGTTTTGATTATTTTGCAACTTCTTTAACTTTTAAATAGCAGCTTAGTGACGCCGTTCGTCAAACTTTTATTGCCAGTGACAATTTTATATATATAATAATAGTATAAAACTAATCGAATATATATCTTTCACGTGTATTTGATTAGTTATATTATTTATGTTCTGACGTCATTTCTCTTTCAATCAGCTTGAAAGCCTCCCCTCGCGTTTTATAATCCTGTAATCGAGGCGTCTTATTTGAATTATACTTTGAGATATATGTTTCGATTATTTTGCCACTTCTTTAACTTTTAAATAGCAGTGACGCCAGTCAAGAAATCAAGAATTTGAATAAGTGTGGAAACGACCTTACTGGCAATTCTTTATTATAATAAGTCACGACGTTTCGGCCAGTAATACTGGTCCTCTTCAGGTAACAAACTTACAAGAGTGCCTACAAATGTCTGAAGAACAGATAAGCATATGAACTGAATTAAGAGAAGATCTTGCGTAACAGAAAATAAAAGGGTATTATTTCTGTTTATATAATAAAAACTTACAATTTCCGACTTCTAATTTCATATCTCTAATTCGACGAATCTTGTAAGTTTTTATTATAATTAAAAAAATACCCTAATTTTATTTTCTGTTACGCAAAATCCTTATCTTAATTTAGCTCATATTTTGTTTATGTTCTTCAGACATTTGTAGGCACACTTGTAAGTTTGTTACCTGAAGAGGACCAGTACGCTGAAAAGAAAAATTTCGCTACCATAGCTAATCATGGTTTACTTGAAATATTTTGCTACCATAACTATAAATTTTTAAACCACAGCAAACGATTTGTTATAGCATCTAATACAATAGGCACAGTAGCAAAATATTTTAGCTATTACAACTAAATATTAGCTGTCCATATTTTACAACTAAAATTTAGTTGCCACAAGCAGTTTTTAGCTACGGCAACTACACTTTTCTTTCCGTGTATTACTGGCCGAAACGTCGTGACTTATTATAATGAAGAATTGCCAGTAAGAGATCGTTTCCACGCTTATTCAAACTCTTTAACTTTCTTAATTTAATTGAACTGAACTGTCGAGGCAAATTTTTACAAAATTCAATGAGAATTGATAGCTTTCTGCGACTTTCGTAATATTCTTTCATTTAATTAATTAATTTTATTAATTCTATTAATTTTCGAGGGCCCGCTGGGATCCGCGCGATATTTATAACCAGCTTTATTGTTATCGGCGAAACAAATAATAACAATACCATTGACGTCAGCTAACACGCCCGTAGAATATCAATGGATCTATTTAGATTTACACAAAAGTATTGCATAAAATACCGGCGAACCCCCGGCTGTTTAGAGCATTAAATCCGTAAAACTCTCTCGTCGAGCCACGGCTCGGTCAGTCTGAAAAGGACGAAAAAAAAAGTACAAAACGAAAATTGCTCGCGCAAACGAAACAAAATGGATCCGACGAGAGATCCGCGGTGTCGTGCTCGCAGGATATCCGTGATCTTCCGAGTGAAGTCGGCGAAGGCCGTGAAAATAACGGACGCGAGCCTGCTGAAGCGGCTCGGCATCATCGTCCTGACGTTCAGCGTGTTCCTGAGCATACGGACCCTGGTGGCACCGCCCGTCGTGATCGTCGCGCGGACCGCCGACGATCTCAAAGCGTATCTGTGCCGAACTGACTGGTGGGACCACAGCTTCACTACCCGTGAGTACCGCTGCGCTGCGCTTTGAAAAAAAAAATAAGGAAAAAGAGAGAAAAAAAACGGAGAGCGAGAGATATCGACTCGCTTAATCCTTCGCGCTGCACGCTCGGTGCCTTCGATACCGCGGACTCCTGTAATCGCACGCTGTATCGTGAGCCCCGGTGAAATATTAGCGCGCGCGGGGGCTACGGTACATATACGCGTACACGGAACGCAGAAAGTAGGCGGCATTGGATTAACTTTGCTCTTATGGAATGATCGATCCCTCTCCGCGCGCACGTAAGAATGCGATCGAAAGTTAGAGAGTTCCTGATGAATTAAACTTCCGGGCTCCGCGCGCTTTTCACCTCAAGCGCCTTGAAGCGCGCGCGGGAGCTTATTTACTGAAATATTTAATATAGAAAGTTGCGAGGCGAGTTTACGCGGAGGGGTTGAAGGGGAGAGGGAGGGATGGATGGTGCGCGAAATAAATAAGTCGGGAAATCCCGTCCCGAATTTTCGCGCAGTGGAATCCTGTTTAACGGGGGGAGACGGGGAGGAGGAGGGGGGGGAGGGGGAGGACAAAAATGCGCGAAGCTCCCGCGGGGACATACCGCGTAAATGAGGCGTGAAAGTGGGCATCCGTCTCTCGGCGTATCCCCCCCTGGCTTCGCCATATCCATAAGTTCCTGTATTATACGTGGCAGGTCGCATTAGTTCGTATTACCCACCCCCGCTGTCAGTTATACGCGCGCCTCTGTCTGCATCGTAAAATATTTACCGAGTCTCTATCATGACGCTCCTCTCCCGACGGAAAATTGCCCTTGGCGGTATATCAAATTAATTTACATTAAATTAGAGGCATTTAGCGATCGTATCGTTGTATGCATGCTCGCGCAGTTAATACGGCATTATGAAGGATTAGAGCGTATTAGAGAATACAATGTACATATATAATATGCAATGTGGAAGTCCGTGAAGCACATGTGAGCACATATTGATTTAGTAATACTGCAGATGGCCGAACGTGATTTTAAATCAAGATGGATAGTGTAGCGCGTAGCCGGCTTCGAGGAGGGAGGGGGGGGGGGGGGGAGGTACCCCGGCATTATAGTTAATTCACATTCATTCTGCCGTCAGAGAGCGACGCAAGAGGCATTACTTTTCTCATAGCGAGCGAGCGAGAGAGAGAGAGAGAGAGAGAGAGAGAGAGAGAGAGAGAGAGAGCCCAAAGAAACAGCTGATACGATAAATCTCGCGCAAACACGCCGCATCCTCTCGCGATCGGCATCCTCGCGCGGTTCGTAGAAGGCTCTTAATTCCTCAAATCCCCCGGATTTTTACATTTCGAGGGTTTAACCGTCGAATGCATAATGCAAAGTTATCTGATCGCGTTACATCTGACAGTTCCCAGGGTTCTCTCTCTCTCTTTTTTTCTTGCAATTCGAAAAACTTATAATTGCTCAGATCGTCGAACTATCCATCGATCCCTCCCCCACGGATTTGCGGAGTCGTAACTAGGGCGCAAATTGGCACTCGTCTCGACTTTCGCGCACGTATGCGAACCGCGAACGGAAGTAGAAAGTATTCCGGCCACACGCACGCAAATAACGCTAGCTACGACTCCGCCGGCCTTTGAGCAAAACATTAAGCCTGGCTATTGAGACTAATGTGACTTGGAATTTCACGTGATTTCAGTCGAGGTGATGTTCCTCGTGTGGGGCATCCGGTTGTGCATCGTAGTAAGAAAGACTCCGTCGGAGTTTAATGAGAGTCGATTCATTTCAATGGCGATTTACAACGAATTTCTACTATCAGTCTTCCTCAACGTTTCAATGTAAGTTCGCGCTATAAAACCTCCTTTTTACCTCCATTCATTATTCGAAATGACCGATTACAGCTACCGTCCGGGAAGCACTCGCGAGGCTTCGTCGACCCCGTAATTATTCGTAATACGAGACCGTTCGTTCTCGAGTCGTTTTCTCCGAACGCTGCGAGGGAGAGAGCTCTATCAAACCTTATGCATTCGTACGATTCCCCCAGTTGTGAGTTTACCGCTCGGCGGTGCAGCAATAAGGTCCCTTTACATTTAAATCTAATTAAATTCCTCGGAATTTTTATATTTCAGGAATTTAACCGCGGAATGCATAATGCAAGTCAATTTAGAGCGACCCTTATTTTAAATGTAAATACTGTGTCGGCGGTTTCTCAGCATGTCCCACCTTAACTGCAATTTAATGGCGGACTTCCTTGACGAATTTATAATCAACTTTTTTTCTAAACCGCCACCGAGATATCGCGATTTTTAATCACCGCCGGGATTACACGCCGTGGCGATAAATTCGTATAAACCGGAATGTAAATTTTGCTTCTATTGCCCGGGCGCTTCTCCCTTGTTAAATCTTCCGTCCGATTGTTATCCGGGGGGGAAAAAAGGTAGTCGCGTCAAACGCATCTGTCATTAAAACTTGATGCAATCAGGAATGTGGGGCGTTCCAATTTAAGAGATGCAATTTGAATTTACGAGACGGGGGAGAAACAAATAAAAATAACGGAAGATCTGGGACATCCATACGGTATAGCGGGCCGTTCTTACGTCACGATAGCGCTTCGTGCGGCTAACAGCTCTGAATAATTTCTTTCCCGTTGCTGCAGGTTGTTCCTGCAATCGCCGGCCAATCCGGATTTATTGTACATCATATTTTTCTGCCATACCCAGCTTACCGTCACATTGCTGCTGTGCCTGATATTCGGCAGTAAAGTAAGAAATATTATTTATTACAGGTTTACTATATGACCGGTCTGACGCGCGCATTGTTACTCGAGTGCGCCGATTACCTCGAACGAAACTTTTTACGATTTCGAAACACTATACGCGGTGAAATTATTCCAACATTAGAGTCACGCACTTTTATTAATCCGCGAAGCAATTTTAATAGCGAGTTCTGAGACGGATTTAAATTAGTTCTCCTTTCGTACGAGAGATTCGCGGAAACTCCAATCATTGAAATATCGAACATATCGGCAATTGAAAGCTGCAGCTGTAAAGAATTAATGAAAATATATATTTTCAAAATATTTGCGAGCAAACTTGATTCGAGGTAAACGAGAATAGGATGATATTTGATGAAATGCAATTGGTCTATAAATAAATTATTCTTTCCTTGTTCGAGATTTACTGGGAAAAGCAAAATAGAAGTTGCAGTATCGTATAAAGTTAAAATTCAATCGGCACGAATGAGATTGAAATCGCGCAATTTCCGCTTCGTTTTCTATTTCGCTTCCCCCGCGCTCTCTCTTTCTCTTTGCAAGATTACTGCAAAGTCCTCCCACTAGCTTGAATAGAAACCCGACGCTGTGTAAGTTTGGTTGTTACATACGTCGCATTTAACGAAGGCTTACGTGGTATTCCGCGACGGAGGGAAGGAGGAGACGATCGGCAAACTTTGCGGCGCGACCGGCAAGTTCCTGGGGAAAAGCAGTCGTCCGCAGGGTACTAGTAACCAGACCAACTCGATATCGCTTCAGCAGGGTAATTTCGCCGAAGAAAGCGACTCTGTCACGGTAAGCACCTCGGTAAGCCGAAACCCTCGGATCCCCCGGTCTCTGTGGAGCATACCGGAAGCTGTGCGCTTCCTCTTACCTAAATATAATCCGCTCTGGATTTAGATATACAGTGAATTTTGATTGTATCGTCCTAATGTTATCCTAATTTTCGAATCAGAAAGTTCGAATCAAAGTTCCAAAGTTTCAAACCCTCCAACTTTTAGAATCGTTAATCCACTAAGCTGTAAACTCTTTAGGGCTTAAAGCTTAAAACTTTAGAGCTTTCGGGTACCCTGGAATCCTAGGATATTCTAGTCCCGGGACCTTCGAATTTTGAAGTAGAAATAATGTTTGAAATTTTTTTTTATCTCGAAATTTTAGAAATCTCGAAAACTTTCAAACCGCGATGTCTTAGGACGCTTGTTATTTCAAACTTTCCGCACTTTAGTACATTTTAGAATACGGATGTGGGATAAGGGTGGCAAGGGGTACTTCTTTTCAGGAGGAGTTCCGTCGTTTGCTCAACCAGTTAGAGATCCTAAAGGAGAAGAACATATTATTAGGAAATCAGGAGTTATCCAGCAAACTGGCAGCCATGCTGGACGCTTCCAATCGAATCGAGGCTCAAGTATCCACTATTCAAGCCATTTCAACTAACATCGTTCAGTTGAATGATCTCAACAAATCGACGAAGGAGACTAATCTCGGACAAGCTTGTCAGGAGCAGACCCGGGCAGGTAAGGAAGAAACTTTGAAAAAACCGTGTGCTGAATTTTTCGCGAAAGGTCAGCGGGATTGTGAAATACATTGTAACCGTTTTTCAAGATTAGCACAGTCGGAAATAAAATCTCGTCAATAAAAGTTCTGCACAAGCCGAAGAAAAACGTTTTATTTATATGTACACATTTGGAGCTCGGAGCGAGTAGTCGGAAATAAAATCAGAGGAATTTTCCGGTTTAAAAATGGCACGGATTTAGGAATGATCGTGGCTCCGGGGACGGAGGATAAAATTAGAAAAAGTGGAAATTCTGACAAAGCAGTATATATAGTCTCCGCATATTTCATTTATATTTAAAGTTGCAAATTAGGGGACAAGAACGGGGAAATTGTTCCTGATTTGGACGGCAGGAAAAAGAAAAATGAACGGCATTATAAAACAAACCGTCCCGAAAACTGCCCGGCTAAATTAAATTTACTGTGGAAACCGGAAGTCTAAACGAGAGCTTTATTTATTGATTTCTCTTTCTGTCTCTCTTTGTGTACCCGTTCAGGATGATCTATTAATTTTTCACCGCATCCCGTGGAACCCTACGGGCAGATAATTCTACCTTTGTTTAGGAAATGGTTCTCAGGGTGAAAATCGATGTCGCGCATGTATTGAGAAAAACGGGCTCGGGGGGAAGGATACGCGGGACACGTCGAAGGATAATGAGACGTCGGAGTCGAGGAAAATCGGAAAAGACATCGCCGTATCAACATCCTCGAAGCACGAGGACCTCGGCAGGGAACTATGTCACGGGAAGGATGGCAAAGAAGCTGATTCGAAGGACAAATCCAGGAGTAAATCCGGTCACGCTAGGACGCACGCCATAGTTATCAACCTTGACGACAAGAGCAGGTTTTCCGAGGAAGTTACCGTGTAACGTTGTCTCTAAAAAAAAAGAAAGAAGAAACAGTGAAAATTAACACATTTTCCCGACATTTCTAATTAAATAGTAATTGATTTGGTCGTTTGTCTTCGTCAAAAATTCTTGTATGATTATTATAATAATTAGATTTTCGAAAAAAATTGACATTCGTCTGATAACAATCGATAAGTACGGAAATCCATAACATAAAATTAACGAAGAAATGTTTGCTCGTCATTAATAATCATAATCGATTCTACGAGGGGAATAAAAAAAATTCCAGTTCGTTCGAATTCACAAATTTATACCATGAATAATTTAAACCGACACTCGAAAGAAGTTTTTCGGAATTAATAAGATTGATCAATCTCTCGATTGCGATCGAGCAATTAATAATTCCAATGACAAGTCGGAAATTTTAAATGTTGAAGAACGTCTCGAAGATCGTTGGAATGATTTGCTGAAACAATGATTGATCTGAGTGAAAGTTAATTAAGCGACCGTTTAGTCATCGTGAATAATAATCGTTCGCATGTTAATGAGAGACTCGCGGCACATATCGATTTTTCATATTTTGATGTATATCAAGTATCCGTGGAATAACAAAGAAAAAATGGAAACGTTAGATTAATCACGTCGTTTGGCATTTTCGAGCGAGACCGATCGTATTCTAGTGCGTCATTAATGAACCGTTCATTAACCCTTAGGGAGTAATCCGCCCTTTCCAGCAGCAAATCGATCGCGGTCTACGGGCTTTCCAAGATCAAAATGTGCTTCGTCAGCGTGTTCGCGGATCACAAGATAGCCTGCACCTGTATTGTAATTATGTATTGATGTAAAAGCAAGTTGTGGGGATAAGGCTCATTAACCCTTTCCAGCTCCCCGATGACGCACGGTATTATTAAAATGATACGACCGTTTTAAATAATTTCCTAAGAACGTGTTAAATATACGCATATAAATGTATAATATAAAATGCGTTGTGTAATTATAATACAATTACGTAGGGTAAACTGATACGAAATGTGCATTAAACCATGTCGCATGATGTTACATTATATTGTATTATATTTGTCAGCGATGTTCTATTGTATTGTATTATAATCCGAGATTATAATTAAAACAATACAAATGTAAGTAAAAATTTATCTAGGGAAGCAAATCTCCTATGTAAAAAAAAACAATTTGGGCTTGAAAGGGTTAAGGGAAATAATTTTTTTATGCTGTCTTTTTCTTATGCTAATGATCTTACGCGATATGTGCAGAGATGTCGGTAATGATTCGCTCAATAAACTTACAAAAATTTTAATCGTTATATATTTAAAACTCTCAATCTGTGGAAGCGCTTGAATTATTTCACTCGTGTATTTTAACATTCGTGTTCCTGAAACGCTCAAGTCGATCCATCTTAGATGAATATTTTACCCTTACTTCTACAATTGGAATTTTACAAATACAAATGGAATTTTTTATAAACTCTTACTTCTACAATTCTTTAATCTTGAGTCAACAGAATTTCAAAATGGTTATTTACGCATTTCTTACATATCAAATTTCTATAAGTATCCAGTTCCGTTATTGTCCGACGACAATTTACATAAACAGTGATACAGAATAATTCATGTGCGTGTACATTGCTTGCTGTGACGTAAATATTGTACTTTAATAATTACCATCGTTAGCCGTGTAGCTTATTGTACGTATAGTTTAAGTCAACGCGTTGTATTGTAAATAATGAAATGCATAATTAATCGATCAATTAATTAATAAAGACGAGATGAATAAGGTTCAAGTCTGAAGAGCGATTTTGCATTTTGCAAAATAACAATCTTATGCTTTAAACGTTAACCGATCGTTATTAAAATAAGGATATTTTACAACTATTAAGATCGCGTAATTATTAACGTCAAATTTACGGAATACTTACTTGTAGAAATAATGTTATAAATAAGACGAATATTTATTCCTATGGAAATTGATTTTTGCGCTCTCTCTCTCTCTCTCTCTCTCTCTCTCTCTCTCTCTCTCTCTCTCTCTCTCTCTCTCATTTCATGATATTTGTGGGAAAATAGTTTTTTAATCCGCTCAAAGCTGTCCCGAAATCCAGCTTATTAAGCTAACAGCTCGTTATGAGACTCCCGAGAATCACAGGCTTAAGACTCGGGTTAATCTTTTACAGCTTATTTTTTGACGAAAAGACGATCGCAATGAAATTCTGTTCTCAGCTCGTTAAATTAAGCGTCGGTTACAGAAAGAGTCGGGATTATCAAAGATTTTCCGACTCAATCGGACAATTTCGCGCGGAAGACGCAGATTAAGGGATCCAGCGTCCAAGATCTATAGGACGGATTTACCTGCCATTCGCTTAATGAAACTTGCAAGCGGAGGTTTCCTCTCGAGCAGCACGGGATTGATGCGAGAGAAGCAGAGAGTCGTCTCTTCGCACTTCATACATACTAATACGGCACGTATTCGAGACCCTCGACAATCAGATGCTCAATCGCTACTTTCCCTCTTATCATTCCGTCCCGTATCCCTGCCAATTAGATACGTCTCCAATAAAGGATTCCCGCACTCTCAACGGCTTGATCGTTAACGCGAGAGAAGAAAGAGATAGCGGAAGAAACGAGAAGATAGGGGGAGCGGGGAAAAAAAGGGAAGTATTCCCTCCGTACTTCCGGCGGAGTCCCATTGACTCCGCCAGACTGGCTTCTGCCCACCCCGCGTCGGCCGGACGGTGTTTTACGAACTGCGTCCGCACAACGGATGTGCCAATCCAGTCCAAATTGCCTCCCCGATAAAAAGAGAAGGCATGGAATACGTGCCCTGCACGATACGTCGGGATCACGACCTGCGACGACGAGAGTCCGTCGTAGTTCCGTATTGATTTTCATGTAAGAATACGCGGATATCACCGCTGAATTATCGAGTGCCCGGCGCAAAAGAAAGGGCCTCTCGAGGCTCCTCTCTCTCTCTCTCTCTCTTTCTCGAAATGATTTGACCGGCAGAATTAGTCTTTTGATTAGCCCTTTGCCGCACGCGGAACGGAAGCGTCGACGAATGTACCTGTACCGCCTATAACGGTACAGGAAGATGGATTAGAGTGTTCGATTCGCGAGAATGTCGGTCGGATAGGCTTATAGCTCACGGCGCAGCAAAGTTTCGATGGGTACGAGTCGAGTTCTAAACTTAGTCCTTAAATCGATTTTGGTTTTAACTCAATTAACGCGAAAATCTGGCATGAAATGTGTTATCACTCATATCGTCCTTCACGAGATCTTATTTCTTGCGTTATCTTGGCTGTCGTTGGGTAATCGAAATCTGTTCCGAGACAGATGTTGCAGATTGTCTGTGCGTTTTTCTTTTTGTTTTTTTAAATATTTACTTTCGTGCCCTTACCTTCGGCGATGGACAACAACTGATCTCATAATTTTATTTTAATTACGTACAACAACGCAATTGTATTGTTATTATTATTATTTATTATTTTATCATTAAATTTATTATTAAATTTATATTTAATGATAAATTGAGAATGAATAAATAAATGTATTAATTTTATAATATAATAATGTACATAAATAAAGAAATGTTTAATTGTTATCTTTAAATTATCAAAATATGTATAGTTTGACAAAGCTAATATTTCTGCAAATTCTCTTAGTGTTATGGGTTGATTTTCAACCAATCTCGACACAAAAGTTAGAAGCGACTAATATTAAAATGACGGGAATTTGTGACTGAAAAGAATGTGGTACAGCTTTCCAGAATAAAAGCACGAAGCAGAAAAGAATCTTGATATATCTTCATACATCTTAATACATCTTCGCATAAAACATTTAACGTGTCCAATTTATCCGAAAGAAGGAAGGGAGACGAATTGAGAAAATTAGACAAACGATTCTCGATTTCTCAAAGATTATAGATCTCGAGTCTTTGCAGTTTCGCTCATCGTGTCTCGCTGGTTCTCTCTAATTCGCTCGGGTCAGATTAGAAAGGAAGAAGGACGAAGTTTAAGACAGACGAATAATCCCGTGGACCGAGGATTGAATAGTGTCGCGAAATGGAAATCCTCGTCAGTTCTTGTGGACGCACAAACGAATATATGAATGAGAAAGAAGGATAACGGCGGGGGCATCCGTTTCGCGGATGAATTCGTCCGTCCTTTTGCAAATTGACGTCGAATCCTAAAATACCTCTATCTCGAGAGCCGGATGTCAACAACTATGCGTATTACTACGGAGTTTGCGGACGGCCGCACACGCTCCGCGTCCTATATCGGCACGGGTTCCGGTTAGTTCCGGCGCGATTTGATTACCATTCCTCCCCGAGAGCGGTGACGACGATAAGCTTCGTTGCGAGCGTACACGCGCGCGCGCGCGCGCGAGCAGGAATTTCCACGGATTTTCCTACGGCTGGAGCCCGCGGGGAGGAAGATAGGATGGATGCATTACGAGCGGATTGCCGGCGCTCGTCGACGAGGGAAAGGGGGCTTTTCATATCCTGGCTTTGGACGTAGTCTGATATTGATACGCAAGCGAGAGCGATCGTCGTCGACGCGCGAACGTAGCACGCGCGCGGTAATTCCGCCGGATCGGCGGGGATTCGTGAGGCTGCGCGATATCGCAGCGTGTGCGGCGACCCTTTGAAGTCGAGAAGCGGAGTCGGGGCGGAGTGCGCTCAGCCCTTCCGCCGCGATACCGCGTCTGAATAGGGGATGCAAACACGCAAATTCTGATGAATTCCTCTCAAGGACGCCGCCGAACCCCGGAACGGGGCAAGAGCATTTTCGACGCCACGGACTCAACGTGAAAAACGATACTTTTCGCATTAAAGAGTTAAAGGGCTTAAAAAATCAATACTTGTGAAATATGACAGGTGTCGGGGGAAGAGTTCGACCTCTATGGTCTCGGGGACACAACAAAACTTGTATAACACGAGTTTCTAATTCGGGAAAGTTTTAAAATTAGAAACTCTTGCGGTATATAAAAATATAAAAGAGAGCTTAACTTTTCTGCTAGTCCCGAATTTATAGATGGTTAAATTTAAATACACTTCAATGTTTTATTACACTTTAAGGAAACGCGATTGAACTGTACATTGAAAATTGGTTTAAAAGTAAGAGAATTTCTTTGATTTTGCGGCGCTGACTGCCCACGTAGATGAGTCTATCAATTTTGCAATTTTATCATTAACAAAGTGACGTAATTAAGTCAGAATATTGGATCAGTTATATGCAATAACTTTTACAGAATTTTTCAGCAGCAGCCGAATGAGATTTTTTAACGACGCACGAGATTGGCGACGGAAACGAAACTGATCTACTGGGTGCAATGTAATTATAACGAAAATCGAATAAACCCACTGTTTCGTAATACTTGAAATGATGTGTGTCTCTTTCAATTATAGCTTCATAATTATGTAATTTAGAACAAATTATATTAATCCCCATAATTAATTAAGTATATTAATCCAGTAATCGAAACTCGTAATATTAAAGGCCAATAACGAGAGTGCGGAAATTTGTAGTTTCGCAAACGGCCGTTGTGATAACAATCATAGTAATTTCGCTGCTGAAATTTTGTTTGTTAGGAACGTTCCGTTTCCCGTTGCGAACTTCAGCTTTCAGAAGTTTATGTTAATGAAAGATCTTTAATCGGCACGAATTTAAATGTTAAAAATCAAACAGTTATTGAAGCGCGACAAAGATATGTAATTTGCGTCACAGAGGAAATTTGGCTTCGGATGCATCAACAAAATTGTTGACGCAATTTGTATCCTATCAAGTTTTTAAAATATTCTATTGGACGCCGTCCGATCTATCAATGTGTTTCCAGCAGTATGAAAGCAATATTGCCAAACTCGTCGTGCTTGTCATTGCGCTCTATAACTGTATCATCTGTTAATAATCTATCCCCGTTATGGCCGAAATTTCTAGGTATTAATTGTCATCCCCAGATAATAATTGATAGACGTCACGATCAGTTCGCGTATTAATTGCGTTACGTAGCGGTCGACGTGTCAGTGTGCGGCATCGACTGGAGATTCAATTTTTTCGAATCGAAATTTGAAGCGAGAGAAATGCAGTTACAAAGACAGAACGAATTTCAGAATGACGCGATATTCGCTGGAAGAAAAGAAAGTTGAAAATTACAGTCCGTGAGATGTGACAATCTCAGAATCGGATCTTTTGTAGTCGAGCAAGCTGGAATCGAAAGACATCGAGAATATTAACAAAAGATCGATCTTGCGGAAAATCCGAGATACTTGACGAAATTTCTCTGGGCTAGCGTTCTTATCGGGATCCGTATATTCGTAAATCCGCAGGCCTGATTTACGCTCTTTGAAAATCCGTCGCCCGAAAAATTTTCTTATCTCCCTTGGCCTGGATTCCCTTAAAAATTCGGCGCATCTCCCAATGATGCATTTGCGATGTAAATGGGACGGCAAGAAACAAATAAGTCTCGCGACAAAGGTCGTCACTCCGTTGCGAGAATAACGAAAGACAGATAGCGGGATAATCCATCCGTTTGTCTTCCTTAGCTACCATATAATGGAAAGCTACTTATTTCCCTTTCGCGGTCAGATCAGGGATTTACAGCCGCGAATCTGTAAAAGCTGATAGTCGGCCCGATTTCGTTTCGTATTCTAAAAAGCACTCGGTAAGCGGTATTTCGACAGGCGCTATTGATCGTCTGAAAGCGGTTTGAATTATTCACAAATCGGAGAGTACCTAAAAATCTAATATTCTAAAATTTTGGATAGAAAAATGCTCCCATAAAAATGTAAAGATCTGGAAATAAAAATAACCATGAAAATTCAGGAGGTATAAAGTTTTTTTTTAAAAAAACACGAGAGCTTTTCAACACTGTACACAAATGACGAGGAGGAGATTAATATTCCCTATGTAACTCACATTCGCTGCTTTGTAAACTCAGAAAACGTTTTTAAAACAGTTTTATTTAAATAATACAAAGATAAACATGGAAGGTAATTTACACATGTTCCTGCATGAAAATAATTAGATATGTGTATCAGTAAAATATCGTATTTTAAATGTTGGGTTGTCTCTATCACATCGAATAAAAGAAATTGTAAAGGGTCATAAACGAAGTAGTGGGACTTACTCTTATCGTCGCTATCGTCAGCTTTTCCAAATAACTTGATTGTATTTTTACAATCCATATGTTATACTTTAATTAATACAATATAGGCCATAGAGTAATTAATCATTGACCTTCAAACGAGCATTGACTCCGTTTCGTTCATGATATATTGTTTCACAGTTTGGAACAGTTTCGACCTATTTTTAACAAATGCAATTCACGATATATTATGATTCTTTTATATTTGAATCAAAAAACTTTCTTCTCTCTTCTCTATACACAGTTAGTTCTTTTTTATATTATTTACAGATTAACAGTTTAGTACAACTCTGTGTGAACTCGAAACGGAACAAGCATAAAGAAGTGGGAATTGATTATAGCGTCCTTTGAGGAATTTATGGGATTGACTTTCCTCAGCGAAATTTTAAAGCGCGAGCTAATTACCACGTGAAGTAGCGTAGCGTACTGAAATCTTTGGCGCATCTCTCTTTCATTCGCTGACTTTACGTCTATTTGTACATCTCTTCTAAAAAGAAATGCGCAAAGACATGCAAAATGAAGTGGGACTTTGAAGACTTTAAAGATTGAATCAACATCCTCTTTTATATATATATGTACCGAACACACACGTTAATTTGTAAAAACATCCAAAAATTTTTTTGTGTGGACAAAAATTCATATTACGCCTGGAAGATTCTCTTTTTACTACTTGTCACTTTTAATGTTATTAATTGGATATATTAAGCTTAGAATTAGAGATTTAGAAAATTATGTTACCGATCTCATGCGAAAAGATCGCATCCTTGACCGAACTTTTAAACACAAATCGTAGAATCCACGTAATAAAATACAAGGCAAAGTCGAACTCGAAGTTCATTGAAAAATATATATCTATACTATTCAATTCCCATTTTTCCATGCAGAGATGACATATTTTCCTGATTAGTTGACCATTTTCAACGTGGGTCAACGTTCACGTGAGAATAAAGTCTCTCTTTATATTTGAATTTCGTAATTATTTCCAACAATCACATATATATATCGTATATACATATATCAATGTTTATATTAATATATATCAACTATTTGCAAAAACAGATAATTCATTATGAACCTTTAATATCATATTGGAACAATTATGACAAAATTAATAGCAGGTGTCTATTATTCAACCCAGATATGCCTGACGCTCTATATATAGGTATCTATATTCATCTCATTTATATAATTAAGTGACACCGCAGCTTTGTTTTAGTCTCCCCGCTTCCCCTCTCCCTCTCGCCCTCCTTCACTCCTCATTTTATGCTGCGTTTGTGATAATTTCAATGTATCTTTGGACACAAATTTATCACTTATATATTTGGAATCATAGAGAAAGGCTCGCTACAACTACAAGGCACACATCTGGGTCAAAATATATATGTATTGAGTTATGATAATACTTGTTTCTCCGCTTGTAATGATCTATAATCTCTAGAAGTGAAATTCGACAACTGTATCTGGATAAAGAGGTATTACAATATCATATGATGAGGTATATTTATAAAATATATGGAATAAATTATAGATTTCAATACAAAAATTAGTCAATATGCACAAAACACCTAACGAAACAACCGTGTACCTTTAGTTCGTATTGTTCCCTCTCCGATTTTTATACTTATCATGGAGATCAATAGAGTAATGGACTGACTAAAATTGCTACATGTCAAGAAAAATATACGATCCTTACAAGTATCGCAATGCAGTGGCAATATACATGTATCATCGTTGAGAAAATAGTGCGTGTGATCTTAAATAATTCTAGGAAAAGGCAACGTGTACACATTATACATGGATTCAATAGGATTTTACTAGATGGAAGAAAACGGCTTATATTTGCTTAATACGCTCAGCCCATTACTATTTTTATGTAACATTTTGTTCTTTTATAGACTTTATCCTCATTAAACAGAGCTGATTTGGATAGAAGAACCAATGGACTCTGTTTCATTGTGTGCCCTTAAATTAATAGAATTTTCCATATTATTACCATCGGTAATGTCACTACTTAACGCCAGTCTCTCACTTTCGATCAACGCTACGTTCGGATCTATTATGATCGTGTTATTTTCTACATTATTTTTCTTTCGGATTGCACACCCGTTAACGTTCCCGTCGATTTCCGCTTGTTGTTCGCTATTCAACATCGATAGACTTCCCTTAATACCCTCCTTCGATGTCGCCTGAGAGCTAAGCTTCCTCTCAGATGACGCATTTTTCGTTACCTTTCCCTCTTTCTCTTTAGGTTTCTTTCCAAGTACGGGAAAATTTGTAATCTTCGAAGCAGTCTTTTGATCCTTTGATTGTCTCATGGAACCAATACGGTTCGGCTCTGTTGCTTCTGGTTCCTCCATGATTGACACCAGGTTACCCTTATTCTCCCCGGTAGTTTCATCTTTTACAACTTGTATTGGTATGTCATCTGAAGGCAGAAGAAAATGTTTTCTGTATTACAAGAGAAGAGACTTTTATCGCCAAATTGGAGTCGACAATAATGAAAGCAATATTAAAAGTTAACAAGCGTTTTAGAGGCAAGGAAACATATTTGTATATACATAATAATTCACTTAAATTATACATGTGAGAAATATGTATGCCATAAATACAATTTCTTTATGTTCGCCTTGAATAGAGACCAGTAAAATTGAACACATTTAAATAGCATATTCAATTGTATTGTGCATGTACAATAGAGGGAAAACATTTCTTACCAAAGAAAGAAAACAAAAAATATTTTGCAAAATGTGTAAATGTGTATCATTTTCTTTTTGTATTAATTATGTGTTCATAGTACATTGTAAATAAGTGGACATTGAAACACTTAGGGAACATTTAGGATGTGTAGAAAATATTAAAAATGATATCGCGTTGGAGAATATACAGTGCAGAAAATCATAACATGAAAAAAAGAGAGAGAGAGGGACAGATTGCACGTAAAAGTAATATTCAAGTGAGAACAGTGAGAAAGAGATAAAGTAGTAAGAAAGAAACACCGAATACATTTTCTAGCAATATACTTGAAATTCTTGGTGCGGGAAGATAAATGTGCCATGTCGACATGCATGTTTCCCAGTCATGCGCTGGTTTCTGTTTAGATTTTGTTTTATGCGTGTGTCTCATTATAGCTGGGAGTGGTATTTCTGAAAGGAATACATCCACGAGTAACATGAATTATTATAAGTTAACAGCTCATTCCTGCGTGTGTGCTAGTGTATATACCAAATGAAAGTATAATCGTAAATTTGATGGAGAATTATAGCGTGATGAGATTTACGCCATCCTACAGTGTTGTAACTGGAGTGATAATACCATGTGTTTGACGATAGTGCGGCAGTGGCACAATATTGTATTGACCTATTGTTGCCTTCTGTATATACATTTTCCACCGATTCACGAATGATCTCTCCCAGAGCCTGTTCCTCTAACAAGCTATACAGATGCGCGTTAGCGGCTGCCAATCTATCGTCGGGAAAGGTGGAGTCGCACATTACGTTATTATCTTTTCTAGCTTTCTGGCTGATATCGTCCTTATTGTCGATAGTCGTTTTCTTTGACTGTTGATCTTTGCTCTTTTTGGGAGAGGACTTTATCGGCGAGCTTTGGCTGCTGCTGCACATACTTCCACGCCTAGAACTTTCCAATGAGGAGGAGGACTGCGCCTTCCCCACGCCCGTGTCCCTCTTATCGACCGAATTTGGAAGTGCGTGCTTCCAATGCCAAGGGCGACGTTTGTGGCTGCCAGATACTGCCGGTCGCTGTTGCTTCTCGGCTTGACAATTGCTCAATTCGACCGCAAATAACTTCTCATCCAGATCGTCTAATGACATAGACGCGTAACCCACATTTGTTTGGACTTTTTTACATAACTTTCTAACTTATTAAATATATTTTAAAATAACGCGCGGATTCGGTTCAACAGATTTTATTATTTATAACAACACATTATGTACTTTTTATTTTTAATGATTTGCGAGTTATCAAGGAAATCAAACAATACAGATGAGGAGGAGCATGAATACATTGCACGTGATTTTCCCGGGAAATGTGTGCAGTTACTATACCAATATTTGCTTGTTTGGGCAACTATTCATTCATGGAACAAAAAACGTTTTCAATTCAGCAATAATTTCATAAAACTATAGGTATGTCACATGCAAGCTTGGACCTAAAAGTACTCGACACATTCATGTCCATGCATATATATCCGCTTGTGTATTATTTATGTTTGTTGTACATATCGGGGTTGTGTAAGAGAAAGATAGCTAATATTCAAACACACACAATTAAAATTTTATTTATACGTGTCGGCTATTTTAATGAAAAATAGCTGTGACGTTAGTACTGTTAGTATTCCAACACCTTTATTCACCAAAAATATTTGCCAATGTACAAACTTGCGTAAAACACAATAACTATATTTAATTTCGAGCGTATTTATATTTAATCTCAAAAAAAGAACTACACGAGACATGAATTTTTTGTCAGTGTAAAATAAAAAGAAGTTGATAGAAATTAACATAAATATGTTTATCTTTGCGTAATGAATTTAAATATAATGTTAAATGTACTATTGCCGTGTATTTTCTTAAAGTAATTACAATTTATCTTTCGTTATTTTTGCTGTCGCCAAATGTTTTTTTATTACATGCCGTCGTAAGAAGATTAATAATTTATAATAGATATAAACGCAATATATAAACGTACCTGGCAATTTCTTAGTACGGAAGGAAGCATTTGTGATCATAGACTTTGAAACGGTCGGTGTAGCGGTTGCCGGGGATAATGCAACACTAATTCCAATTGGTCCATCATTCGGCTGACCTGAATCGCCAACATAAGAGGATTGCACTTTACTTAGTTAACAGATAATACAGGAATTGTGCACGTTATGTTGTCCTACCGTGACAATTACCTGGGGCTCCAGAACTGGCAGAATTGCGTATAGCGTTGGTGACTAACATTACATTTGGATATGCCTCGTAACATGCCCTGTTATGAATATCTTCTGTAGCTTGGTTTCCTACATACCAGCATTCGTTATACCTACAAATAAAGACATCATATTTACATATTATAAGGAAAGTATACCTATATAAAAGATGCAATGCTAGCAAATTAGTCCAAATGCCTCGCCGGAATTGATGTGTTAATTAAGATTTGTAATGAGAGAGATGTAGAAAAACAGACTAAAATGCTGTTAAAATCGCAAAATGCATTACATACATGGCAAAATATACAGCATGCAAGAATTCCAAGAGAAATTGGCTGGATACTGGTATACGTGGTAAAAGCCTTGGAACAAAGCTAGACTCACTGCCATATGAGGAACGTTGATGGTGTCCCGGTTTCATAAATCCTTGAGTAACAAGTCTGCAACAGAGACGAGATTACATTGCGATTGAGAATACAAAATGGCAACAACCGAGAATTACAGTCAAACTCACTTTGTTGCGACTTTGCACAATTGTTCCAGAGCAAATTTACTTATGTATCCAAGTTGTTGATTATAAATAAAGAGTAAAGCTGTCATAACTTTCAATCTGTTTTGCGCATTCAATGTTTCTACTTGTTGCAACGGACCCCAGCTCACAAGTTTTGAGTTACACTCCTCAAAACGACGTACTGCGCTTTCGGTTAGCGAGGCGGGTGCTAGACTCGCAGGCTGTTTCGAGAAATATATTCAATATTATATTTAATAATCTGTAGCAATAATACAAAATTATTTGGGATATTTTGTCTTCTTCAATTAACTTTAATAATATTATTTATATGAATTTAATATTTCTATATCAAATATTGTATTTATTAAGCCACAACAATTATAGAGATAAGCTGATGCCGTTTAAAACTTTGTTTTCTGAAATGCAAATTTGTACTCGTCAGTTCGGATTCTTTTTAAATGTCACTTGACACATTAACCGCGAGTATCCGATGACACTTAAGCAAAGCGCTGACGTTTCAAGAAATATAATCTGAACGTTAACCAGAATCTTACTGCAATTAGATCTGCATACCAAATATAAATACCAATTAAATGCGTACCTCATGATATATGGATAGCATAGCGAGAGATGGTAATCTAAATGAGATCGCTTTTTGTTGTCCTGACTTATCGACCACCTCCAGATTATATAATCCAATTAGCAGAGTCTCCAGGGAGCGACAACTCTGCAAATGAGATGTTAATAATCAATATACCGTTTAAATGTGTAGTATTTGTTATGGCAATTGTCAGGAATAATTCTTTTTAATGATAAATAAATATTATAAACGGTTAATTGAGCCCCACCTACAATGTCTTTATAATTCTATTGCAACAACAAGATATTAGTCTCTATTTGTCATGCAAGTTAGTGGCTCTTTGCATTATATAATTCTATTAAATATCAATTATGTACCATGACAGCTTAAAGTATGATTGACAAACGACACGAGTAATAAGTGGGCCCGACGTGGGACATTATTTTCTACGACTTTACATTTTTTATGCCCGTTCTACACCTAGAGATGATCCTACTTGTGGCTCATCCGAGTAGAGGAGTTTACATGGGCATTTTAGTAAGACTATTGTACCAAGTATGGTTTTCGTATGATTTCACTATGATTTTTAACCGTCTTCTTATGTAGAAATGGCACCCGAGTCCATAAACGGTCTTGATACGATCTTTGTCCATTTATTAACTCACTTGGATGAGCCACAAATAGGATCATCCCTAGGTGTAGATTAGGCCCATATTCTGAATCCTCTTTTATCGGTAAAAGAAGGTTCGGAATACTGGCCTCATTATCTTCAACGAAAGCACAATCTTACCTTAATATCACCATGTGCAGCGGAATTTAGATAAATATATATTAGCGTCGGCAGAAATTGCAGAGTAAACCTTTGCAACTCCAATTCCCGAGACCGATAGAAGTTGTACAATTGGTTACACACTTCGTCCATTAGCTGTAACAATAATTCAGCATTAAAGAAGCGCGTTTCGGCTTGTAAATACTTCATATAACGCTACTAGCGCGCATCCTTGGAACAAATACTCGAAAATTGGCCGACACGTTCCAGCATTATGTACAAATAGTGCCAAGTGATTACAAATCTCTAATAACTCGTGTATATCTTTCTCTTTCGTGCTGATAATATTTTTTCTAGGTACACGTGACTCATCTAAGGCTGCCAATGCAGCAGCAAACGGTCTGGCATGAAAGATAACAGTTTCCAGGTAAAAGACAGCTACAGTTCCCTGCGCAGGACGTTGGTTGTACCTCGCTGTACTTGGTGCGCTCCTCCAGGAGCACGTAGAGCGCCCGCACGATCTCGTTGTCCTGCGCGAGCGTCCTGGCGAACATGTGCAGCTCGGCCGGCGCGACGTCCTTGCAGTCCGCCAGCCACTCGCTTATCAGGCTCTCCGTCATCTTCCGGCCGGACGTTCCACGCCTTCGTCAACAAATCGGGAGGCTCTTACCGACGCCCTGGGGTCTCGGCTTCGACTGCGACACGCTGCCCGTCAACGTCACGGCGATCATCACACAGGCTTGACGCGGGGTGGTGGCGCGGCCGCGCGCGGTGCATCAAGGAGTAGACGGGTGTTCCGCGAGCGAGCCTCTGGAGTCACACTGGCTTACATGCCGCGGGGCTCGCCGTCCCGTGCGCGTCGCCGTTGGCGACGCTGGAGGCGCGCGCGAGGGGAGGTTGGCGCGAGCTGAGGTTATCGTCAGTCACTGCCGCTGGCAGCCGTGCCGATTCTCGCCGACCGACGGCCGTTACACGTCGAAGACGATCGCGCAGACGAGCGAGCTCGGGCGACGATGGGCAAACCCTGACACCTCGTCCCAGTCCCGAAGACGGAGATCCATCGGGGGGAGAAAGGGAGAAGATGAGCACGCACGACCCGCACGGACGGCTGCTCAGCTGCACTCGCGCGCGCCAACCAGCTGCACCTGCACCGCCCCGCGCCACACAACTACCTGCTGTTCGCTGCGCGCAGCTCCTGAGAGCCGCGGGCCCTAGAGTCCCGCGTGTCCGGCCGCCGGGCCGCGAGGGGATTAAATGTACGGTTCGGGAAATGTACAATGGGTTACGCAACGTTAAATTAATCGACCAGAGCGAGGTTCGGGGTTTTTTTTCCGACCGTCGGCCACGGCGCACGGGAACCTAGACGCGCATCCCGCGTCCGAGAGCGACGCGACTGCGCAGTGCGCACACGACCTGCGGCGCGATCGGGAATCTCTTTCTCTAGCGCGAAAACTCGCGAAACGCGAGAAAGTTTCATTGACGAGTTCAATATATTTGTCAATGAAATTTTTGTCACATTTTTCACGAGTTCACGCCAGAGAAAAAGATTCACGAGTCCCTGAAGTCTGTGCCAGGGGGTCGATTCTGTATCTAAAATACATTGAAAATGCTAAAAGTGAGCTGCATTGGTCAGATGGGCAATTCTACTGCGTACAGAGGACCTCGGGCAGTTTTTGAAACGCTTAAATTATCAACGTTCCATTCTAAGAACGGCATCTCGCGATGTCGTACGATTACACCGGCCGAATAGGACAATTTCAGCACCGGGGCCGGGCACATCACCAATCCTGGGCGCTTGTGCGAACACCGTCCCCTAAGAATCCACCTGCCATGAGGCCGGTGACGTCACGCCGGTGACAATCGCTCGGCGAGCGTCGCCGAGACTCGGCTTCGCGGCGACGCGGACACGGATAGCTACGACTGGCTCGTTGGATCCGATTGCGCGTCGGGCCGTCGAGGTGATGTTATCGCGACTAGAGAGAAAGGGGGGGGGGGGGGGGGGGGGAGGGAGGGAGAGGGGGAAGGGGGGAGGGGGGGCCCACGCCACCCTTCCCTGCGTGCGTCGGTACGCGCTGTCGTGTATCGCGGGCTGCCTGACATTGAGAGTATTCCGCGATAAGTGGTGGGCCGCCGTCGCCGTCGTCACTGCCGTCACCGCCGCCGTCGCCGCCGCTGCCGCCGCCGTCGTGCGTCCGCCCGATGCTGAAATGAAGCAGAAGCGCGTCATGTATGGCGACGCGCGGAAACTGTGCGAGAGACGAACGCAATCGGCCCCGTACGGGCCCTGCCTCGCGTCGGACTAACGATCAATGGCTTTATTCGAGAAGAGATACACGAATAAAGTGCTGTTAGATGATACGGAGCAGCTGACGAGCGTAATCGAAAATGCGAGGACCATCGACGGACATACGGTATGCGCTCCGGTATTTTGCTCCCCCTTTCTCCGTCTACGTTTCTCTCGCTCGCACGCTCTCTCTCTCTCTCCTTCCGTCTCTCCCCCGTTTACCGTCTCCCTCTGTCTTTCTCTCCCTCACTCCCTCCCTCCCCTCGCCCTCCCGGGATTATCCTGTAATCATCTCGACCTGTTTGTCTCGCTGTCATAGGAATTTTCCTTCGCGCCCCGCTAAGATTCGGTTTATATCTCGTCGTTGTGACATTCGTTAGGTTTGTATACATGTATACACACGGATACACACACGCACGCACACATACACACACGTCGTTTGGACGATGCACAGTCAGCTGCAACGTGATCCTATACCTCGCCTCGAGTCGTTAGACGCGGGCTGATAAGAAACTGTATCTTCAGGAATTCGTAATCAAAACAGAGGTCTGCTTCCCGAACGATCCTGGAAAGTGAGCCGACGTTACAATGATACAT